CTTCGATTACTGTGTGGTTCCCAAATTTTAGGGATGCAAACTGAAAAGGAAAAAAAAAAGGAATTAAAGTGAAAGTTATTTGAGAAAAATAATGCCACAAGATTAAAAAGAGATAGGTCAACTTTTTCGAAAAGTGAGATTAAGTTTTAAAGAGCTGAAAATCCAAATTTATGTTTTTTTAGGACAATCCTATATTATTAGCTGAATCCCTGAGTTTCAAGACTCAAAGTATCCTCTCACGTACGGTTGCTTTTAAGTATGGATGTAGCTTCTATAAGGGCTAGGCTCGATGGAAGCAAAGTATCGCCTCACTTTGAATCTTCGTCTATAAAGTATTTTTGGCATCTAAAATCTTCATGATGGCTCTAAATTTAATTTTCAATACTAATCATGAAATTTGAAATTAAAAAATAGTACACATCTTATAGATCTGTGAACATTTATTTTTTGACGAAATGGAAGGTCTAAATAATGTGTTACAATATATACCATTTTTAAGGTATGAAATCGTTTATTCTTCTTTTTTACAACTACAATGGTTAAAGCCAATAGATTTGAAGTTTTTTTATGCCAAAACTGCAATTCTCTGAGTTTTGAGACGCGGCTTTGCTTATTTTGATTGGGTTGTAGCCTTCTCAAATCATGTTCCTTTAAGTATTAGGAAAATTATAAATACCCATCAAATTCAACTTTCTAGACATTCTACTGCAAAACCCATTTGTATCTCACCTTAAACCTAAATATTATCTTTCCTTATATTTACCTCAAATAAAAAAGTCAATAATTTAAAACAAAAATGCCCTTTCTTTTTCTCTTCTCCCCCTTTAGGAGTCACATGACTCTCTATCCACTCTCTCTCCAAAATAAAAACCCATATCCTCTCTTTCTCTCTCTCTTATTCTCTCTACAAAAACCCATATCCCCACACTCTCTCTCATTATCTAGTAATGCAATCCGGTTTGTGCGGTCCAACACAAAAAAGTGCCAAACCATAGAAAACATTTTGGTCCGGCACACTTGGTCCTAGACCACATTACAAGCCATGTTACTGGAACTCAATATGGTCCAGCATACTAGGGTCAATTTGACACTTTTTTGTGCCAGACCTCAAAAAATTAGGTCTGGTACCTTATGTGCCTGACCGTATTGCTGCAAATAAGAGAGACTGAGATAGAGAGAGAGTAAGAGAGAAAAGATAATGGCTTTTTACTTTGGGGAGAGACAATAAAGAGAGTCACGTCTCTCCAAAAGGGGGAGAAGAGAAAAAGTGAAGGCATTTTTATCCTAAATTATTTATTTTTTAATTTAAAAATAATATAAGAAAAATTAGTATTGGGGTTTAACGTAGGATGTAAAAAGTTTTGGGGAGTAGGATGTCTAGAAAGTTGAATTTAGGATTATCTATAATTTTCCCTTAAAGTATTTGATAATAGGCCTTTAGATAATTTATCTAATGGTTATGTTAAGTTGCACAAACTGTGGAGTAATTTATCATTGTACTCAACAATTTTAGACACTTATATACCCTTATTTTGTACATTTAACAATTTTTAATAAATGTATATTTAGGGGTGGGATGTCATTCATGGGATGACATCTCTCACATGAGCATGAAATGTCACTAGTGTGCTTCATGTGGGTTACGTCATACCTTATGTAGATGACGTAAACCCTTCTTAATAACAAAAAATACCCTTATTAAAAAAATGCTCAAGGTACAAAACAAAGATATATAAGTGTCTAAAATTGTTGAATACAATATGTGAGCATCCTAACATACGTGCTTAAAAAAAAAGAAAATACACTCAGGAAAAGTTTATATAGAGTTGAGGCTCTAAACAATCAAATTAGAGCCTACCTAAAAAATTTCACTACAAGAGATTGTTTTCATGCTCAAATATTCTCAAATTGATTATCTCGATATCAAGATGCAAGGAAATGAAAAAAAAAAGGGATTTCAAGCTTTGAAAATAGCGTATTTTGTAACGCATTTTTGGACCGTCAATTTTCAAAATTTTCACAGATCTACCAATCTATACTACTTTTAAAACTTTAAACTTTGTAAGTAAGGGTGAAAATATATTTTAAAGCTATTACATTGATTTTCATTATTGAAACCCTATTTCTTTATACTATTTGAAGCTAGGCTCTAATTTGATTGTTCTATCGCCCTATGATTAAACTGCATTGGTTTTTGTTTTTCGTTTTGCGTAATTTCCCTTGGACGTAGTACTAATTTCGGAAATTTCGGCCGACGTTTTAGTTGACGCATTTGTCCATTACACTGTTGCCCGACCATGTTCGCCGATATTTTGGCCGAAATTTCGTGAAAACTCCCATTGTGGGACTTTCATTTTGACCAACCATGTGAACCCATAAAATGTGTGGTCCCTCAGCGACTTAGGTGTAGTGGTGGTAAACATCCCATATGGAAAGAAGCAGGTCAAGGAAGCGTTCAATTTTGAGTTTTGAAGCTTGTATTAACTTGTGGGGCTCACCTAACTTTTGTTGGCTTGAGCATCCATTTATTATAACGGACTTCAACTTGAGCCCCTCTCTCTCTCCAAAGGACAAACTTAAGTATCTTCCTCTCTTTAAGAACATGACCATTAAAGGACTTGATGAGTCTCTTCCTCTCTCTAAGAAAATGAGCATGCTCTCTCTCTTACACCCACAGTCATGTAGGCATCATGCGAGAAATGTTTTTTTTTCGAGTAAATTAGATGGAAAGACATGCCTCTACCTGATTTTTCGAATGATTTAGGAGTTAATTTTTTGAAAATGTTAATGTAGTGATATAAATAAAAATAAAAACCACAATACAGTGACTAGGGCTAGGGGATGCTACCACCGCACCAGCCTCCTTCCCCTCGAGAAGTAAATATGCATCTTCATGAGTTCGTGCAGGTTTATGAGTATGAATTGTCACTTATTCCACTGTTAGTAAAATTTGGATTGCTACGCATTCCGCCGTTGTTCATAAATAAAGTGAACCCACGGTCAAAATAACAACTCAAAAGGGCTTCAATATAGTAAACATCTTTAAGGTTTTAGGTTTCACTCATGTCCATATGCCTACATCACAAATATGTTTGTTAGAAAACGTGAGTGATTTACGTATGGATCCTAATTTCTTTTCTAAAATATGACATGTTTTTTTAATTACAAAGAAAATCTGTCAACCTCTTTTTTTATTTTTTTATCTAAAATTACTCCTCAATCCTCGAACATTCTCAGATCGATTTTTTATTTTTTAATTTTTTTCATTAGCAGGGCACGACTCTAAAGTTTGAGACACTTCTCTACTAACAAAAAAACTAAATAATAATAATTAAAATTTGGACCGAGGATCCCATCCTTAGACTGAAGAGCAATTTTGAAAAAATCAAAACATGGTTTGACCAACTTTCTTTATAATTTCTGCTAATAAATTGAGTATTTCGTGTTTTAGAAAATAAATTTAGGGTTCTTATGTAAATCACTCTTGAAATACTAAAAGGAAGAGGTGATTTACGTACAAGCCCTAAAATCTTAAGTAAAATACAAAATACTCCACTTATAAGTAGAAATTACAAAGAAGGTCGGTCAATCGATATTTTTATATTTTTTCAAAATTGCCCTTCGGTCAGTGCCCCAAACTTTAGTACGGCAGTGCCCCAAACTTTAGTAGGGCAGTGCTCCAAACTTTAAGGTATTACCCTATTAATGAAAAAACTAAAAAAAAATCAAAATTCGATTTGATTGAGAGGAAATTTTGGAAAAATAAAAAAGAAGATAGGTTAACCAACTTTCTTTGTAATTTCCACGTATAAGTGAAGCATTTCATATATTACCTAAAATTTTAAGGTCCGTACATAAACCACTCATTAACTTATAGCTTTTCACTGAACTTGTAGAAAGAAAAAGAGTACAGAATAATCGTGGTCTTATAAAAGTGCACCAGAAATGTCCATAAAATATATTTCTCAAGATTGGAAACTTACAAAACCGATTATCTCCACCGAAATGTATGAGGCCACGATTAAACTCAAGGTTCTAAATATAGTCTATCTTGCAACACTTTATATCAAGTCCTTATAGTAGGACATATCTGCAAAATTTTCAGTACTTTAATTTTATAGGCATTATAAATGAGCACAGAGTTTTCAGGCCTCAGAGCGAATTTTTCTGTTTCTAAAGTGAGCGTTGCAACTTTGTGCTTATGCCAGGCTAAAGAGGCTTTTGGCCTTTAGCTGGTTTGGACAAGACAAGACTTAATTCGCTCAAACAAGCAAAAAGAGAAAAGACAAAAACAAATAATGAAAGGTCCCATTAGGCTAAAGCTCACAGTAACTTGATAGTCATAAATTTTGTGGTCCAAGCCATAGCCTTACATTGGTCTGAATTGACAGTGGCAAAACAGTCGCATTGCCAACCTGCATACGGTAAGGGGAACCTACTAAGGAAGAACTTCAAGAAAAAAATTACTCATGAAAGAGTTTATCAGATTTTCAAAACCCTAATGAGTAAAACAAAGGATATGCAATTTTTTTTTTTGTCATTTTTCCCAGCTCCACATAGGAGAAAGCCCCAATAAATGCCATCAGCAATATACGAGTTTAGTCAATGGAAACAAACAAGTAAAGAAGAAGAAAAGCAAAACCCAAGAAAGACGTAGAGAGACAGAAGAGATATAAAAAAAAAATAGAGAGTGAGAGAGGGGCATATGTGCAGCAACTGTTATTTACTTGTGGACATTTACTTCCTCCATTGAATGTAGTTCATGGCGGTTCCAACTGCACCACATGGTTTGGTACACCATTAAGACAACCTCCAACTACCCCTAATTACATATAACTCCCCCTTCGTCCCCTTTGCTTTCTCACTCTACAAAACCACTTAAATAATCCCCATTCTCTCCCCCAAGCTTTGCATGATCCACCCCCTCCTCCCCCCAAGTTTCTCACTCTAGAAACCACCTCTACCCTTCCAAAGTTTCTCTCTCTAGAATCCCCTCAGGCATGGCCGGGGAGCAGGCCTTCCTCTCTACGGAGATCGTCAACCGGGGTGTCGAGGCGTCCGGCCCCGATGCCGGATCCCTGACGTTCTCGGTTAGAGTGAGAAGAAGGCTTCCTGATTTCTTGAATTCTGTTAATCTCAAATATGTGAAGCTTGGATACCACTATTTGATAAACCATGCAGTTTATCTCTCCACAATTCCAGTTCTGGTGCTGGTGTTCAGTGCTGAGATCGGGAGCCTTAGGAGAGAGGATCTGTGGAGTAAAGTTTGGGAGGAGCCACCGAGGTATGATCTCGCCACTGTGCTCGCCTTCCTCGGCGCACTCGTCTTCACGGTGTCTGTGTACTTCATGTCGCGACCTCGGCCCGTCTACCTTGTCGATTTCGCTTGCTACCGGCCCTCAGATGAGCTCAAGGTGAACCCCTCCTTCTCTCTCTCTCTCTCAAACACACATCTCTCTTTTCTCTTGGTTGTTCGATCGTAGGAATTGAACTTGAGATGTAGCATTGTTAATCTTTTGCCGTCAAGCACTTAGCTCAAGCTTGATTTGTAACTCTCACTTTTGAATGCACAATTACATGAGAAAGTATACAAATGGATCATTTACTTTTAATACAAGAATGTCGTAATCAATTTTGTCCATCAGACTTCAATTCGGATGGTTGTAAACTCAAAAATGAATTTCTCGATCCTTGGGAATACATCAAGCCCTCAAATGACTAGTACCTATCGTGACTGCGTTGTACAAAAAAAAAACAGTCTCATAATACACAATCTAAATATTTTATAGGACGTTGTTAGCACGTGGGCCAGGCCTGTACATATAGAAATGTGGGTCTATTAATAAATCTATATTTGAAATTGATTTTTAGACTTAATTTTTAAAGATGGAGATCATAAACATGAAAAAATAAATAAATTTTAAAAACTAGAAATAATAATTCTATAAAAAAAATATTTGGCCTAACTCTAAACTAGAGGAATTAGAACCAAGTTAGTAGATGTTTATAAGTATTTCCATGGAAAAGATTTACCAAATCAATCCTAAACTTTGAACTATATGCAATAGGATTTTGCTTAGACTGAAGTTCTAAATATCACCAATCTCCATGGAAAGAAAAAGAGCAGATACCAGGACCCCATACTTGTTCTCAAGCAACAGAGCTGCTTAGCGTGTCAGTAGATGCATTTCAGGCTTTAATAGCATAGTGGCACACATACTGAGTTAGGTGAAGTATTCAAAACTTCTATTCTTGATGACGCGGGATATGTATAGTTATGTTTATGTGTGTGTATAGGGAGAAAAACTTCTGGATCATTACAATTATAATTTTATAATTATAATTTTATAATTATAATTTTTTGAGAAAACTTCTGGATCACCTTATAATTCATCAAATTGCAATTCAAGCATTATAAAACTTTTACATCGATCATCTCAGATTGAACATATTAGTTGTCAAAAAAAATTAGAATGTTAAGCTCTAAAAACCGTGTATATTGTATCAAATTATCTACACTGTCCATTTCACCGTAAAATTAAGTGTTCATAGATCTATAAGACTTGTACCATTTTTTTAGTTTCAAATTTTATTATCAACATCGGAAATTGATTTATATCTATCATAGAGATCTTCCTAGCTAAAAGTGCTTTCCAAATGAGGATTTGACATGATGCTTTATTTTATTTACATAAAGCCTAGACCCAGTAAAAATTTCATTCATATATATATATATATCTATGGAAAAGGCTGGGATTAGCCCACTAGCTCATATGAACATATGAGCCTAACGATCCAGATTGAAATGGGCCGATCTGACTATCACAGGTGTCTGGTAATGTTGAAATTTTAATTTTTTTCTACAAATTCAAATCACTTAAAATTTTAATAATGTGTTCATAATAAATAGTTGAATTTTTAAAAAATATCAAAAAAATATTTTACATGAAATAAATTGACCAAAATACCCCCGAAAAGTTTCCGCGCTATTTTGGTTATTTTTTGTGAATAATGTTTTTTATATTTTTATTGGGTGCGTATTGATGAGAAAAACACACGCTTAAAATTTCAAATGATTTGAATTTGTAGAAAAAAAAATTAAAATTAAAATACGAAATGAGGTAGTAACGGGTAGATTTTAGCTTATATTTAATCTAAGCCGTTGGGCTCA